CAACTGCTAACCGCTGATCCCTTTTTCCTAACTGTAGCTGCTGGAAGAAAATAAATTTGCAAAAGAAAACCTTTGAAATGCAGATCTTTATTCTAAAAAAAAAAACTTTTCTTTTGCCCATTTCCTGCAATTACCTTTTTTACCTTAGAGGGGAAGCAAGCTCCCCCAACCCCCCCTCAGCTTCAGGTCTGATACACTGTAAGGAAAGTGCATGTTTTGAAAAACAGGATCAATATCAGAGATTACAAGACTGGTTACATACTTGAGCATGTGCACTTAATAACTAACATCCCGTAATAACATTACACGTTTTCAACCCATAAATGTGACAGTGTCCATGAGGACCTGTGGTTTTCTGCATCTGGGATGCCTGGGGGCCTTGGGGCCTTTGCTATGTTAAGTCTTGTCTGGGCTTGTATCTGCCTTTTCCTGCTTTAAGCAATCTGCATGCTTAATCCCAGAGCTCCTTGACATGTTCCGTGAAGGAACGCGAGTCTAATGGTGTATCCTTGACATGTTCTGGTGGGGAGTGCGAGCCTGATAGCTTATGACCCCAGCCTGACTCCCATTTTATTAATTAATTCCCCTTTTTCTGATATCACCACCTTGAGATCGGCCCCTCAGACAGAGTTGCCAGTAAACAGACGTCCACCTTCATCTTCCCTGTTCACAACATACTAACCCCTCACACACCCTCTTACGACATACAGTGTTCTTGTTTTTGCTTTCATCCGTGTTCATCATCTGCAGCCTTTCAAAGGACCACCTCGCCCCTTCGCGCTCCCTCTTCTGCAACCTCACCCAGCCGTTCCGCCTTCACGGAGACCCACTCCCAGCAGTTCACAGCAGTCCACACAGACTTTCATCTTCCTCTATTGAAGGTTGCCACTTCCTGACCACTGGAGCTCTCCTGGGCCTTTCCACGGAGAGGAGATTTCCTCTCCTCTGACCCAGAGCTCTATGAAAAGACCCAGTATCCCAGATCTGTTGGAGGGCGGGAACACGGTTAGTTTTCCTACCCTCACACAACTCCAATGGCTCAGGTATGTATGCGTTTGCTTCACCTGATAACGTTGTGAATTGGCTTTACAAACCGTACACCAGCACACATGCCTCAAGAAGAGAAATGAAAAGAAGAAAAGGTCAGTTCTGAAAGAGAAATACACAGAA